CCACCCATAGTTCCCTGCTGTCCCTCAGTGCTCAGCCCCCACCTCCACCCATAGTTCCCTGCTGTCCCTCAGTGCTCAGCCCCGACCTCCTCCCATGGTTCCCTGCTGTCCCTCAGCAGTCAGCCCCCACCTCCTCCCAGAGTTCCCCGCTGCCCCTCAGTGGTCAGCCCCCACCTCCTCTAATAGTTCCCTGCTGTCCTTAAGTGCTCAGCCCCCACCTCCTCCCATAGTTCCCCGCTGTCCCTCAGTGATCAGCCCCACCTCCACCCATAGTTCCCCGCTGTCCCTCAGTGGTCAGCCCCACTTCCACACAAAGTTCCCCACAATCCCTCAGCGGCCAGCCCCCAGCTCAACCATAGTTTCCGACTGTCCATCAGTGGCCAGCACCCACGTCCACCCATAGTTCCCTGCTGTCCCTCAGCGGGGAGCCCACACCTCTACCCATAGTTCCCTGCTGTCCCTCAGCGGTAAGCCCCCACCTCCAACCATAGTTCCCTGCTGTCCCTCAGCGGCCTGGCCACACCTCCAACCATAGTTCCCTGCTGTCCCTCAGTGGTCAACCCCCATCTCCACCCATAGTTCCCTGCTGTCCCTCAGCAGCCAGCCCCCATCTCCACCCATAGTTCCCTGATGTCCTTCAGCGGTCAGCCCCACCTCCACCCATAGTTCCCTGCTGTCCCTCAGTGTTAAGTCCCACTCCACCTATACTTCCTTGCTGTCCCTCAACGGTCAGCCCCTACCTCCTCCCATAGTTCCCGCTGTCCCTCAGCGATCCGCCCGCACATCCTCCCATACTTCACAGCTGTCCCTCAGCGCTCAGCCCCCACCTCCACCCATAGTTCCCTGCTTTCCCTCAGCGGCCAGCCCCCACCTCCACCCATATTACCCTGCTGACCCCCGGAGCTCAGCCCCCACCTCCGCACATAGTTGCCCTCTGTGCCTCAGCGGCCATCCTACACCTCCACACATACTTGCCCGCTGTCCCTCACCTCTCAGCCCCTGCCTCCTCCCATACTTCCCCGCTGTCCCTCAGTGGTCAGCCCCCACCTGCACCCATAGTTCACTGCTATCCCTCAGCTCTCAGACCCCCACCTCAACCCACAGTTGCCTGCTGTCCCTCTGTGCTCAGCCCCACCTCCACCCATTGTTGCCTTCTGACCCTCAACTCTCAGCCCCCACCTCCACCCATAGTTCCCTGCTGTCCTTCTGTGCTCAGCCCCAGCAAGCCCGCACCTCCACCCATAGTTCCCTGCTGTCCCTCAGCAGCCAACTCCCACCTCCAACCAGAGTTCCCTGCTGTCCCTCAGCGGTTAGCCCCCACCTCCACCGACAGTTCCCTGCTGCCCCTCAGTGGTCTACCCCACCTCCACCCATAGTTCCCCGCTGCCCCTCAGAGGTCTACCCCCACCTCCACCCAGAGTTCCCTGCTGTCCCTCAGCGGTCAGCCCTACCTCCACCCATAGTTCTATGCTGTCCCTCGATGCTCAGCCCCCACCTCCACCCATAGTTGCCTGCTGTCCCTCCTTGCTCAGCCCCCACCTCCACCCATATTTCCCTGCTGTCCCTCTCTGCTCAGCCCCCACCTCCACCCATAGTTCCCCACTGTCCTCAGGGGTCAGCCCCCAACTCCACCCACAGTTCCCCTCTGTCCCTCAGCGGTCAACCTCACCTCCACCCATAGTTCCCCATTGTCCCTCAGCGGTCAGCCTACACCTCCTCCCATAGTTCCCTGCTGTCCCTCAGGGCTCAACCCCCACCTCCACCCATATTTCCTTGCTTTCCCTCAGTGGCCAGCCCCTACCTCCACCCATAGGTCCCTGCTGTCCTTAAGAGCTCAGCCCCCACCTCCCCCCATAGTTCCCTGCTGCACCTCAGTGGTCTACCCCCACCTCCATCCATAGTTCCCTGTTGTCTCTCACCAGCCACCCCCACCTCCACCCATATTTCCCTGCTGTCCCTCAGCGGCCAGCCCCCACCTCCACCCATCGTTCCCTGCTGTCCCTCAGTGGTCAGCCCCCACCTCCACCCATATTTCCCTGCTGTCCCTCAGCGGCCAGCCCCCACCTCCACCCATCGTTCCCTGCTGTCCCTCAGGGGTCAGCCCCACCTCCACCCATCATTCCCTGTTGTCCCTCAGGGGTCAGACCCCACCTCCACCCAGAGTTACCTGCTATACCTCAGCGGTAGGCCCCAATTCCACCCATAGTTCCATGCTGTCCCTCGGTGCTCAGCCCCCACCTCTACCCATAGTACCCTACTGTCCCTCAGGGGCCAGCCTCCCCTCTGTCCCTCAGTGGACAGCCCCCACCTCCACAAATATTTCCCTACTGTCCCTCAGAGACAAGCCCCCACCTCCACACATAGTTCCCTGCTGTCCCTTGGTGCTCAGCCCAAACCTCCACCCATAGTTCCCCCCTATTGCTCAGGGTCAGCCCACAACTCCACCCAGAGTTCCCCGCTGTCCCTCAGCAGTGCGGCAACACAACCTCACATAGGTCCCCGCTGTCCCGCAGCGCTGAGGCCGCACCTCTTCTCATAGTTGGGTGCTGTCCCACAGTGGGAAGCCAACACCTCCTTGCATAGTTCCCCGTTGTACCACAGTGGTCAGCCCCACCGCCACCCAGAGTTCCCCGCTGTCCCTCAGCTGCCAGCCCCCACCTCCTCCCATAGTTCCCTGCTGTCCCTCAGCAGCCAGCCTCCACCTCCACCCAGAGTTCCCTGCTGTCCCTTGGTGCTCAGCCCCCACCTCCACACACAGTTCCCCGCTGTCCCTCAGCGGTCAACCCCACCTCCACCCATAGTTCTCCACTGTCCCTCAGTGATCAGCCCCCACCTCCTCCCATAGTTCCCTGGTGTCCCTCAGCAGTCAGCCCCCACCTGCACCCATAGTTCCCTGCTGTCAATCAGTGCTCAACCCCCACCTCTACCCATATTTCCTTGTTTTCCCTCAGTGGCCAGCCCCAACCTCCACCCCTAGATCCCTGCTGTCCCTCAGAGCTCAGCCCCCACCTCCACCCATAGTTCCCTGCTGCACCTCAGTGGTCTAACCCCACCTCCATCCATAGTTCCCTGTTGTCTCTCTCTCCAGCCACCCCCACCTCCACCCATAGTTCCCTGCTGTCCCTCAGCGCCCAGCCCCCACCTCCACCCATCATTCCCTGCTGTCCCTCAGGGGTCAGCCCCAACTCCACCCATTATTCCTTGTTGTCCCTCGGGGGTCAGCCCCCACCTCCACCCAGAGTTTCCTGCTGTCCCTCAGTGGTCAGCCCCACCTCCACCCATAGTTCCTTGCTGTCCCTCAGTGTTCAGTCCCACTCCACCTATAGTTCCTTGATGTCCCTCAGCGGTCAGCCCCCACCTCCACCTCTAGTTCCCTGCTGTCCCTCAGCGGTCAGCCCCCACCTTCTCCCATAGTTCCCTGCTATACCTCAGCGACCAGCCCCCGATTCCACCCATAGTTCTCTGCTGTCCCTCGTTACTTAGCCCCCACCTCTACCCATAGTACCCTGCTGTCCCTCATGGGCCAGCCCCCCTTCTGTCCCTCAGTGGACAGCGACCACCTCCACGAATATTTCCCTGCTGTCCCTCAGAGACAAGACCCCACCTCCACCCATATTTCCCTGCTGTCCCTCAGAGCCCAGTCCCAACGTCCACCCATAGCTCCCTGCTGTCCCTCAGCGGTCAGCCCCAACCTCCACCCATACTTACCCGCTATCCTCGGAACTCAGCCCCCACCTCCACCCAGAGTTCCCCGCTGTCCGACAGCGGCCAGCCCCAAGCTCAACGCACAGTTCCCACCTGTCCCTCAGCGGCCAGCCCCCACCTCCACCCATAATTCTCTACTGTCCCTCAGCGCTCAGCCCCCACCTCCACCCGTAGTTACCCGCTGTCCGTCAGCGGCCAGCCACCACCTTCTCCCATACTTCGCCGCTGTCCCTCATCGGTCAACCCAACCGCCACCCATATTCCCCGCTGTCCCTCAGCAGCCAGCCCCCACCTCTACCCATAGTTCCCCGCTGGCCCTCAGCGGCCAGCCCCCACCTCCACCCAGAGTTCCCTGCTGTCCCACAACGGCCATGCCGCACCTCCTCCCATAGTTCCCTGCTCTCCCTCAGCTGTCTACCACCACCTCAAACTGTCATTCCCTGCTGTCCCTCGGTGCTCAGCCCCCACCTCCAACGATAGTTCCCTGCTGTCCCTCAGCGGTCAACCCCACCTCCACCCATAGTTCTCCACTGTCCCTCTGCGGTCAGCCCCCACCTCATCCCATAGTTCCCTGCTGTCCCTCAGCGGTTAGTCCCCACCTGAACCCATAGTTCCCTGATGTCCCTAAGCTCTCAGCCCCCACCACCTCCCAGAGTTCCATGCTGTCCCTAGGTGCTCAGCCCCACCTCCACCCATAGTTGCCTGCTCTCCTTCCGCGGTCAGCTCCCACCTCCTCCCATAGTTACCTGTTGTCCCTCGGCGCTCAGCCCCCACCTCTACACATAGTTCCCTGCTGTCCCTAGGTGCTCACCCCGCACATCCACCCATAGTTCCCTGCTGTCCCTCAGTGGCCAGCCCCCACCTCCACCCATAGATCCCTGGTGTCCATAAGCGGCCAGCCCCCACCTCCACGCATACTTCCCCGCTGCCCCTCAGAGGTCTACCCCCACCGCCACCCATAGTTCCCTGATGTCCCCCAGCAGCCAGCCCCCACCTCCAACCATACTTCACTGCTGTCCCTCAGAGGTCAGCCCCACCTCCACCTACAGTTCCCTGCTATCCCTCAGCGGTCAGCCCCCACTCCACACATACTTCCCTACTGTCTATCATCAGTCAGCCTCCGCCTCCACACATAGTTCCCTGCTGTCCCTAGGTGCTCAACCCTCACCTCCACCCATAGTT